GCGTGTATATATTAAAAATGTACATATATAAGAATAAGAAAATGTAATATACCTACATAAATGAATTTCAATTTCTAAATAATTTTCTAAGTATATTTGAATAATATTATGTATAACAATTGAATATTAATCAAGTATAACAAATTGTATTACATTTGAATTTTAATTGTATGATTTTGTGAAATTTTTATTTTAACAAATTATTATTGTGTTTACATATAGTATTTAATACATATACATATACATATTATAAAATTATACTGAAATCTAAAAGAGTTAGAAACTATATATTTTTTTTAAAAATATAAAAATACTGAGAATTCTGATTTGAAAGTGAATAAAAATTGAGTAAAAAGCCGAGATACATGATCAGAGTCTGGCTGTAAGAATAAATGAATTTATTTTGTTTGAAGAATTATAAAAATTCGTACTTTTTGGATAAGTGTTATATATATGTACATATAAAACTTTAACTGAATTTCTTTAAAATCCTTTTTAAAAAGAATTCAAGAGCTAAATTTTTTAACTTTTCTAACTTTTATAGTTATTCTAATAATTGATTTAAACATTTTGATCATTTATTTATTGAATCATTTCAAAATGCGAATGTGTATGTACTAGTTGGAAACGAATTACAACCGTACATAAGTTACAATGAAACAATCTAAATTTTTAAAAACGTTTTAAATTGTTGAATTGTTTTTAGCTCCCAATATAAGACAATAAATAATATTTAATACACTTTCTTTATGGCTAAAAAAATTGTTATACTAATTTAATGAAATCGCAACCACATATTTTGTACATGTATGTACATATATACATACATGAGGTACATACTTATATATTTAAAATTTTAGTATTGAAAATTATCATTTTGAAAATTTAATATAATAAATTTTTTCTAAGAAGAGGTCACATTAAAGATTCATTAAATATTCAATTCTACAGAACAATATTTCTAATCGGTGCATCATTTTGAATTTCATTTAACTACATTTTGCCCTCGATTATCTTGTGTAAATATTTAAGAGTTCATTTTTCCTATAATTAATGAAACTTTATTTTTATCTATGTATTCTACGTTAAATAAAATTACCCGGTCACGGTTTTTCGCAAAATTACAAATTCTGTTGTTAATATAAAAAACTTTTTCACTACTTTTTTAAATTTATTAAAATAGGTTCACTACACAAAAATTAAAGATTTCATAAAAGACCTCATTGCAAAACTTATCACTATTAATATTTTGTTTAAAACTTCTAAATAAATTTTCTCAAACTTTTTTTATAAATAGTAAATTATTAACACGACATCCGTTCAATAATGAAAATATTTTTCTCTTTAAAAATAATTCTTATAATATTCAATTATAATTAAATTAATTTCAAATCTATTACTTTTTCGCTATTCAAGTTGTAAACAAAATAATTATCCCTAATTTTTTTAACGAATACGTGGGTCACTATTTATATTTCGGGTCCTGGCAATACTAGTGCTGCCAGGTGCAATCTGACACTTCCATTGGAAAGTTTGACATTTTTTAGGACAACTTCACTCAGAACGTTTTGTCATTCGAGCGCGAATTGTTTTGTGTACATGTGTACTTATGTATGTATAATGTTCCACGTTTGCTTATTATTAAACAAAAAAAATTCTATTTAAATTTTAAATCATTAGAAATTTTTAACAAATTCGTACGAAATTTATTTTATGTCAGACTTTTTGAATAAATATTAAATAATATTTTTTTTTTAATAAACAAAATTCTCATGGGATATTCTAATATCCTTAAATTTATTAAAAATTTTCCAAAAAAACACAAAGTTTTTGTTTTTTTTCATTAATGCATTTGTAAAAAATCAACAATTTTTTAAAAATTTTTATTTTAATACAAGTACAAAAAACATTTATCCTTACATATTATTTACGTATATATGTACATATACCCATATTACAACTTTTTTTTCTTGTTAAACAAAATCAATTTTCCAAAAAAAAAGAAAAAAAAACCCAGAAAAACCCCCAGAAAACAAAACAAAAAAATTTGAAATGAAAAATTAAAATTTAAAGAGAAAAACTGCTCCAAATCGGAATTTTTATATATGTATTTTTCCTTTTTACACATAAAAAAAAAAATTCATAAATGTACAAACAAACAAAAGAATATAAAAGCCTCCATCATAACCACTTTTCAAAATAATCAAAAAGTGAAAGAAACAAAAAACAAAATAATAATAATAAAAAAAAAAATAGAATAAACATGAAAAAGTCAGCAAAAATTTTTATATGAAAAAGGAAATTTCATTGAAACTGAAAAATAAAAAAATAAAAAATAAATATGTAGATGGAGATGTGCAAAAAATGTGTATAAGGGAAAATTAACAGAAAAGAATAAAAACAAAAGAATGAAAAACGAAAAGCAAAAAAAAAAATAATTATAATAAAAATAATCGAATCAAAAGCGAACATTTTTTAAGGATAACATTCAAGCATCAAAAATAAAATTTTATTATATTTGCATTCATTGTAAGGAACAAAAACCAAAAAAAAAAAATATAAATTAAAAAACCAGCAGTAACAGCAAAAAAAAAGGAATAAAAAAAAAACATCTGTCTCTCAGTCCTTCTTTATTTTTTTTCCTCTTTCTGTTTTTGTTTTTTCTTTTCCTTTTCTTTGTTACATTCATTTGATTTCCTTTTTCTATTTTCATTGCTATTTTCTTCATAATTTCACTATAATGAATTTATAAAATAAAAAAATTTTTAACCATATTAGGCACTAAAATTATATGAAGACGAAAAAATAAAAATATTTTTTGTTTTTAGAACAGCAAAATTGTAATAAAACTAATAACCTCTTGGACCTTTATTAATATATCTAAAACGTATCGTCCTCGAATTTAATAATACATAAAATGATAGTTATACACACATACATGTACATATATATAAGGTTATTATTGATATAAGAAAGAGGACATCAAAAAGAAAATATTTTTAGAAATTTTTTTGTTTTTTGTCTGCACTCATATATTTTTTACATAATTAAACAATATTCATAGTTCCATACAGTTTGTATTTAAACTATTTGGTGCAAATGTATGTTTTCCAATTTATTTATTTTAACTATTTTTATATACATAAATATTATACTGAGTATAAATGCTCATAATAAAATTATGTATGCCTATGTACGTATAATTTACAAATCAACATACGTAATTATGTTCATATAATAAAGGTATCATTAGAAAAATGAAGATTCACATATGATCCAAATAGGTTTTATATACTTATATATGTATATGAAGTATTAAAAAAAAATGAGAGAAGGGTGAAAAAGAAAATTTAATATTCAAAAGCAAAACATAAATACGATACGTATGTATATAAACGCACAGTCCCATTATTATATTATATAATTATATGGATGTATAATGGCATGGGAAAATTTTTTTTGTATAATTTCACAAATATAATATCAAAAAGGAAATTTTTTTTTCTATAAGTGTACATAAAAATTTTTCTAAAAAATTTTAATGTACTCTCGCATTTATAATCACTCACACAAACGTACGATCTCTCTCTCTCTCTCTTTTTATAAAATTTTTAAAGATTCCATTTTTGTACATGTAAAAAAAACGTAAAGAAAAAACAGAAATAAGTAAAAAAATAACAAAAAATTATAATGTAAATATTTCCTTTTTGCAAGGATCAAAAGAATAAAAATATAATTTCAACAAAAAACAAGAAAAAAACTTAAAAATAAAAATATATGTATGTATGTATGTATGTAAGAATATAAAGAACTCAGCAGTAAAAATATTGTTTGTAGGGTTTGAAAAATGAGAAAGGAAAATGAAAATATGGGAAAAAAAAATCCTTGTATACATTTCACAGAACAATACAAAACAAAAAAAAAGTATAAAATAAAAAATTACAAAAGGAAATTTTTCTCTCCCATTGAAAAACATTTTCAAACCAATTTAGTCAGCTGTTATCTGTTTTAAAGTAAAGACGTGTTCAAATATTATCGTCGGAATTGAAATTTATTTTTTTATTTTCCTTCTCTCGTTTTTGTTTTTTTTTTAATTCCGTTCGTCATAATATAGCATTAAATAAATATTTCTCGTATGGATAACATTTTATATTGTATAAACATATACAATAATACATATTATGTATAAGATATTATATAAAAAAAAAAGAATTTTGTATTGAAATGAAATTTGACATCGTGGTGGGTTTTCTTTTACAATTCTCTCTCTCTCTCTCTCTCTCTCTATTTATCGCTCTTTTTTCGTGTTATTATCATTTTACTATGTATAGTCCGTCATTTTGCTTTACAATAAATACAATAATGAATGTTTAATATGTATATACATATGTACATTATGTATAACAAAAAGAATTAAATAAAAATATTATCAAAATCCAATGACAAAAAAAAAAAATAAAAAGCAAAAAGAAAATTTTATAAAATAGTTGTATGTTGCATATAAAAATAAGTTAGTGAAGTATATCTAGTGTAGTGCTACCGTATAACAAAAAAAAAGTATACAGTTATTATGAAAATCTATATAAATGTGGAAATATTGCAATAAATACATAGATTGTATGTAAAATTGTGTTCTTAATATTTTTTTTTTCGTTTTCTTATATTTTATATATTATTTTTATGTGCTGTGTTTTTATTTTACACTATTTCAAAATATAATAAGAATATAAGGATATAAGGATATTCTAGTCGCGACATTTTTTTTTTGTTGTTATAATTTTATTTTTTCATTTTATTTTTTGTCTTAGATTCTTTGTAATGTTTTTCTTAACTTAACTATCTTACATTCTTTATAGTATATAGAAATATTTTTATTATCCTTTTTGATTTTGTTGTTGCTATACTTATAATTTTATAAAATATTATATAAGGAAAAATAGAATTAAAAATATAAGAAAAAAAAAATAAAATTATTTTTTTTTATAAATTCTTTTGTATAGTGAAATAAATATTATATAAAACAAGAAAAAAAAGAAAAAGAGAAAAATTAAATAATAAAAAAACAAGGATAAGTGAAAAGGAAAAATATGAAACGAAAATAACAGAAATTCTTAAGGGATACGCTAGTAATACAATACATATATATACATAAATATATATGTTTGTATGTATTTTATAAAAAGCAGAAACAACAAGAGGAAGAATACGACAAATTTTCCTTCAAGTTTTTTTTTTTGATTCTTCCTTTTGATTTTAATAAATATTAGGAAAATATAAAAGACACTGAAATTTAGTGGAATGGATTGGAGATGGTGGGAGGTAAATAATTTGATCTGTTATTTAACAAAACAATATTATTTATAGTGTTCATTTATATAATATATATATCAATATTCATAACTTATATATCAGTATATTAGGCGCAAGTGTATACATAATATATGTATATGACTTTATATTTTATACGTTTCATATTCATTGTATAAATTTTACTTTGTTGTTATATGGGGTGTATTATCATTTATTACTATTTTTCTTATTATTTCTTATATATACAAAAGCTCCAAGGATTAAAATATCTTTAAACATAATATATGAGATATATTAAAATATATATATATATTTATATATATCATGCCCATCATATATCATTATGTTGTTTGTCGTGTATATTTATATAAATATGTTAATATACAAGAGTATTTCCATATATTTATTTTATTATTTGAAATCTTGTTTTTCATTTTGATTTTATTCTGGTATTATTTTAGATTTTTTTTTAATTTTCCCTAATATTGTTATATTATATATTATATATATATATATAGTATATACATATATAGTATATGTATATATATAGTATATATATATATATATATATATATATATATATATATATATATATATATATATATATATATATACTCGTATATGTATATTTTTTTGTGTTTTGAAATACCAAACAAGGACATTTATCGTTTAATATTTATTCCATATCAACACAATAATAAAAGAAACTTATAAATTATATGCATATAAGCATAATATATGTGAGTTCATCTATGAAATGTGTGTATTTGTATATATATATATATATATACAATATTTTGCTTTATTATATTAATATGAAATACAAATAATATTGTTACATATTCTTAAATTAACTCATATAATATTTTCAAATAACAAACATATATTATTATGTAGTTAACTTATATATTTATATTAAATACAAACCTTTTTATAATACTCGTAATATATTAAATTTTGATATATGTATGTTCTTTAGTTATAAATAATATTGAATGGTGTATATAATATATATATAATTTTTAAACAGGATAATAATATTCAAAAGAATCTTAAATAAAAAAAAAAAAAATTAAAACAAATTTTTATTAAATAAATTTTACTTTATATTCTTTTATATACATATATGTATAATATTGTTCATATTAACAAATTATGCTAAATAATAAGAGTATATTTATGTGCAAATACATTAGTTATATTTTTTTTTTTTTAAATGAACGTGTGTATATTTAATTTTCAAATATGGTGTATTGAGTGTATAGCGTATGTATGTATATATATATATAATATGTACGTGTATAAATTATTAAAAACGAAAATTTTTAAGGTAATAAAAAAATAAAAATATAATATAATGTAATTTAAAATAATATTTTTAAATAAAATACTTAACAATATTAAAGAAAATAGGAAATATTATTTTGTTGCTTAATTAGATTTATATATACGTATGTGATTGATTGTGCTTTTTTTTTCAATTAAAAAAATAAAATTATAAAATTTAATATAATTTATTATACAATGAATAAAATAACTCATACTCTATATATTAATAGAAAACAGTTCAGAATTGTAATTATGTAATTTGTTAACTATGTGGAGGTTCCCTACCCATATATGTGGATTATATAAAATTATGAATTAAATTTCAATATATCCATATTTTAATTAATTAATTAAATATAATTAAGATAGTGTTTTTGTTTTGTTTATAATAAAAAATAATAATAAAATCAATATATTGCAAATATTTTTTTAATTTATTTGAAAACTTGTTATATAAGTTATATAAGTTTTTTAAAATATAAAGTACATACATATCATATGTATACGTATTAAAATTCATTTTAATTGTTGAAGCATGGCTACTTAATTTATACTATATCAAAATACACACTAAACTGCCTTTTTCATACTTTATCATTATTAAATTTTAAAAAATTACGGTGTTCAATACCGATAGTAATTAAAGTTTTTAATTATGATTTTCAACTATACATACATAAATGTTAATTTATAAATGACAACAATGACAATATACAGTGTTGCAATTTCTAGGTAAATTTAATATAAAAATTTATGAAAAATATTGTTTAGTAAATTTAAAAATTCAATATAAATTTAAAAGAAGTACTTACTTATAAAATAAAAATTTTATAAAAATTAACTGATTTAATAAATAAAAATTTTTGTGATTTAACATAAATAATTTAAAAAATTATTATTATATGTGTGTTATATATTAATAAATGAATAAATTATAAAATATTTAAGTGTTATTGCATTAAATTAGTAAAGAAATTTGTTTTTTGAAAGCATAGTGTTACAATTGAGGCCATAAATAATAATCAATAATATTAAAATGCAAATTTAAATAATGTTAAAATAAAAAAAATTAAAATCAAAGGTTTTAAGTTAAATACATATACGTATAAATACATAGTTACATTTTAACTATTTTACAGTGATCCTAAATATTTCTTTAAAATTTTATTAAAATTATTTAGAATTTTATTAAAATTTATAAATAATAATCAACATTATATAATTAAAAACAATTTTTTGTTATACAACAATAAGAAATAATAATATGAAAATAATTAATTTCAATAATTACAAATATTAAATTATTAGTTAACATTTACAATAATAATTAAATTTAGAAAATTAAAATAAAAAGAAAAATGGTGTTTAAGTTATGAATTTAATTACAATAAAAATTTTATTTTTAATTTTAATGAAATAAAGTATACTTAAAAATGAATCTATATAAGTATTAACAGTAAATACTGAAATGAAAAAATTTAAATAATTAATAATTAAATTATTTTCTACAAAAAATATTTATAAATAAAAATAGTGAATTAAATTCATTTTAAAAGTTTTTGTGTTCTCTATTAAAATTTATTGATATTATTAATCAGAATTTTCTATTAATTACTGCTTAATGCTTAATAAATAATTTTTCAATAATTATAAAAATAAAAATATTTTTAAGTATGATTAAATTTAAAAGGTGATTTTTAATTGCAATAATTGTGAATATATAAAATATTATTTAACAAGCTAGTTTGTGTAGGCCGTAACACATGTAGAAAATATTATTACCCGTATAACAATTTCAAAAATAAATTTAGAAAAGTTTAAAAAAAATTTAAAACCTTTAAAAATAGTGTGTGTGTGCATTGAATGTAATTATTTTTAATAACAAAAAGGATATTGCTTCTGTTCATAAATTGCTAATATATTTTCTATAATAAAAATTAATAATGTAAAATAAAAGACTTATTATAATTTAAAAATATAAAAGCAGTCTGAATATTCTTTGTTATTTATTTAATTTATTTTTTAACTTAATATAAAAATTGTAATATTGTGTGTTTCTACGAAACATCCTTGGAATTTTAAAAAGGATATTTTCTTTGTCTGCTTTTTTTTTTTTATTGTTCATTTAGAAAATTTATTTTCTTGGGATATTATTTTCGTTTTTTTTTTTGTTTTGTGCTATAAATTTTATCTGTTCTTTGTATAAAATATTTATGTATACATTTATATATTATGTATATAAATACTATGTGTTTAAGTAAATAAGTATATTACATAATTTTAAATATTTTTAAGATTGTACAGACATTTTATGTTCATATTTAAAAATAATGTAGTTAATTAAAACGAAAAATAAAAGTTTATTTTAGAATTTTAAAAATAATTTTATTAATATCATAATTAATTAAATTATTAAATAAGTGAAGTGAAAATATTTTTAAAGTGGATATTTTAGTTAATAAATAATATTTCATGAATTTTTTCTTAATTTATTATATAATATTCAAAAATATAATTAATAATTTTCAAGTTGTTTTTAATGTTCTAAAATTTAATTATTTATTATAAGCAATATTTAATTGAAAAATATTACAAAGTTTGGATTTTAGAAAAAATTATTATTGTGAATTACTTAAAAATGTCTTTGTTTGGATTTTAAATAAAAACATGGGCACAAAATGAGAACAAAGTGCTTTTGTTCTTTAACATCCAAAAATTTTTAATATTATATTTGCAATATTCAGTATACTTACATATAAGTGTGGTAAATAGGAGAGAAAACTGTGTAAATCAAAAATTATTAAAATTCAAAATTAATGATTTATTCATCAAATTTCGAAAATTCGTTTAAAAGTCTGTTTTTTGTCTGGATTAATTAAGATTATTGTTATGTGTTTTCCATTAAGAAATTTGATAAATTTTTGGAGTGACTTTTACATTTCAATTTGATTGCATATTATGTAATTGTTCGAAACCAAATAGATCAAATTTTTTCTTTAATATAAATATATTTTTTAATAGAATAGATATTTCAATAGGGATTGAAATATCAATAATTACAGTTTCAGCTACAGGATGTAGCAATAATCCTTACAATAATCGACATTTAAAAACGTTAACTATTTTTGAAGCAGTTTGAACATTTTTCATACTTAAGCACTCATGCAAACAGAATTTTTGATTTTAACATCCAAGCAGTTTTAATTTTAGCCCATGAGAGAATTGATTAAAATCTCGTTCAAAATAAAATTTTTGGTTTTTAAATTATTAAATATAAATTTTTCTCTTAAAACAATTAAATTATATTCTGTAAAAATCTAAAATTAATGAATTAAATTGTTAATTTTCAAAATCATTTCAAAATCAATTTGAAATAAAGTCGGAATAATTTTATTTTAAATTTTGATTTTAATTTACTTGCAAATTCATGAATTACTTACATAGTTTTTCAAATTTCAAATTTATTCATTTAATTTAAAATATTTCATATATACTTTTACATAATATATATTGAATACTATGAAAGTAATTTGTAAGTAATCAAGTACTTTATCTTATTTAAGTGAATAGTCTATTCATACTAATTCAATTTCATATTTTTGTAAGTATTTGGGTTTGAATGAAAAGTCTCTCAACAACTTAAGTATAAGTACCTACCTACTTCATTGTACATATCGTAA